TGTGTGAGTGATCAAGTTGTTCCCGGACAATTGGTTAAATCGGACACATGAACGCACACGACTCCGATCGATTCAATACTCCTCTAGTTCACTCGTTCATGTGGTTAAATTGGTTGTCAAGTTTTCAATCAAATAGAACACACGATCTGATTGGACACGTTTGTCCAATTGAATACAATATTAGCCAACTTCTCTGCATTTTTCCCACTCAAATAGGTACGTCGAATAATGCGGACAGCACAGACGAACAAACCACACAAACAGTTCCATCCCAACCAATGACCACAATGGTCTCACAAAGTGAGCACACATTCCCTACCTATCCTTCCGTTTCTCCATCGAACCATCTCAGTATGTATCTGATGATATACACATTGCCATACATCTATCTGCACACACACACGAACGGTACAACAAATGTTCAACCTAGACCATGCTCATATAGAATGGAATATAGCATGAATATATACACATTTATCATTATTTCTCGCTCCATTCCTGTCACATCCGATGCGATTGATTTGTCAATCTTGCTTCGTTTCTCGATCCTCATCGTCCAATGCGAGTTGAGATGAGAAATTGTGCCTCAAAAATTGCTCAATTTATCCGACCAATATTCGGCTCATTCTTTGACAACAAAATCACACAACCATCACTGAGCAATGACATGATCCAGTTGTACATGATTCGCAGCTGAACGTGTGTACATTAGACCAGTTGATCCCCTTATACATTCTCACTTTTGACAGTGAGAACAAGTTGACCGTGCGACAAGTGGTATGCTTTGCTAAGCAAAAAGCAAGCAATCAAACATACCTGAATGGACCCGATCTGATCAGGTCTGATCACATCTGTTTGATTTTGTCTGATCTGATTTCGTATTGGGATGTGTGAGTGATCAAGTTGTTCCCGGACAATTGCTTAAATCGGACACATGAACGCACACGACTCCGATCGATTCAATACTCCTCTAGTTCACTCGTTCATGTGGTTAAATTGGTTGTCAAGTTTTCAATCAAATAGAACACACGATCTGATTGGACACGTTTGTCCAATTGAATACAATATTAGCCAACTTCTCTGCATTTTTCCCACTCAAATAGGTACGTCGAATAATGCGGACAGCACAGACGAACAAACCACACAAACAGTTCCATCCCAACCAATGACCACAATGGTCTCACAAAGTGAGCACACATTCCCTATCTATCCTTCCGTTTCTCCATCGAACCATCTCAGTATGTATCTGATGATATACACATTGCCATACATCTATCTGCACACACACACGAACGGTACAACAAATGTTCAACCTAGACCATGCTCATATAGAATGGAATATAGCATGAATATATACACATTTATCATTATTTCTCGCTCCATTCCTGTCACATCCGATGCGATTGATTTGTCAATCTTGCTTCGTTTCTCGATCCTCATCGTCCAATGCGAGTTGAGATGAGAAATTGTGCCTCAAAAATTGCTCAATTTATCCGACCAATATTCGGCTCATTCTTTGACAACAAAATCACACAACCATCACTGAGCAATGACATGATCCAGTTGTACATGATTCGCAGCTGAACGTGTGTACATTAGACCAGTTGATCCCCTTATACATTCTCACTTTTGACAGTGAGAACAAGTTGACCGTGCGACAAGTGGTATGCTTTGCTAAGCAAAAAGCGAGCAATCAAACATACCTGAATGGACCCGATCTGATCAGGTCTGATCACATCTGTTTGATTTTGTCTGATCTGATTTCGTATTGGGATGTGTGAGTGATCAAGTTGTTCCCGGACAATTGGTTAAATCGGACACATGAACGCACACGACTCCGATCGATTCAATACTCCTCTAGTTCACTCGTTCATGTGGTTAAATTGGTTGTCAAGTTTTCAATCAAATAGAACACACGATCTGATTGGACACGTTTGTCCAATTGAATACAATATTAGCCAACTTCTCTGCATTTTTCCCACTCAAATAGGTACGTCGAATAATGCGGACAGCACAGACGAACAAACCACACAAACAGTTCCATCCCAACCAATGACCACAATGGTCTCACAAAGTGAGCACACATTCCCTACCTATCCTTCCGTTTCTCCATCGAACCATCTAAGTATGTATCCGATGATATACACATTGCCATACATCTATCTGCACACACACACGAACGGTACAACAAATGTTCAACCTAGACCATGCTCATATAGAATGGAATATAGCATGAATATATACACATTTATCATTATTTCTCGCTCCATTCCTGTCACATCCGATGCGATTGATTTGTCAATCTTGCTTCGTTTCTCGATCCTCATCGTCCAATGCGAGTTGAGATGAGAAATTGTGCCTCAAAAATTGCTCAATTTATCCGACCAATATTCGGCTCATTCTTTGACAACAAAATCACACAACCATCACTGAGCAATGACATGATCCAGTTGTACATGATTCGCAGCTGAACGTGTGTACATTAGACCAGTTGATCCCCTTATACATTCTCACTTTTGACAGTGAGAACAAGTTGACCGTGCGACAAGTGGTATGCTTTGCTAAGCAAAAAGCAAGCAATCAAACATACCTGAATGGACCCGATCTGATCAGGTCTGATCACATCTGTTTGATTTTGTCTGATCTGATTTCGTATTGGGATGTGTGAGTGATCAAGTTGTTCCCGGACAATTGGTTAAATCGGACACATGAACGCACACGACTCCGATCGATTCAATACTCCTCTAGTTCACTCGTTCATGTGGTTAAATTGGTTGTCAAGTTTTCAATCAAATAGAACACACGATCTGATTGGACACGTTTGTCCAATTGAATACAATATTAGCCAACTTCTCTGCATTTTTCCCACCCAAATAGGTACGTCGAATAATGCGGACAGCACAGACGAACAAACCACACAAACAGTTCCATCCCAACCAATGACCACAATGGTCTCACAAAGTGAGCACACATTCCCTACCTATCCTTCCGTTTCTCCATCGAACCATCCAAGTATGTATCTGATGATATACACATTGCCATACATCTATCTGCACACACACACGAACGGTACAACAAATGTTCAACCTAGACCATGCTCATATAGAATGGAATATAGCATGAATATATACACATTTATCATTATTTCTCGCTCCATTCCTGTCACATCCGATGCGATTGATTTGTCAATCTTGCTTCGTTTCTCGATCCTCATCGTCCAATGCGAGTTGAGATGAGAAATTGTGCCTCAAAAATTGCTCAATTTATCCGACCAATATTCGGCTCATTCTTTGACAACAAAATCACACAACCATCACTGAGCAATGACATGATCCAGTTGTACATGATTCGCAGCTGAACGTGTGTACATTAGACCAGTTGATCCCCTTATACATTCTCACTTTTGACAGTGAGAACAAGTTGACCGTGCGACAAGTGGTATGCTTTGCTAAGCAAAAAGCGAGCAATCAAACATACCTGAATGGACCCGATCTGATCAGGTCTGATCACATCTGTTTGATTTTGTCTGATCTGATTTCGTATTGGGATGTGTGAGTGATCAAGTTGTTCCCGGACAATTGGTTAAATCGGACACATGAACGCACACGACTCCGATCGATTCAATACTCCTCTAGTTCACTCGTTCATGTGGTTAAATTGGTTGTCAAGTTTTCAATCAAATAGAACACACGATCTGATTGGACACGTTTGTCCAATTGAATACAATATTAGCCAACTTCTCTGCATTTTTCCCACTCAAATAGGTACGTCGAATAATGCGGACAGCACAGACGAACAAACCACACAAACAGTTCCATCCCAACCAATGACCACAATGGTCTCACAAAGTGAGCACACATTCCCTACCTATCCTTCCGTTTCTCCATCGAACCATCTAAGTATGTATCCGATGATATACACATTGCCATACATCTATCTGCACACACACACGAACGGTACAACAAATGTTCAACCTAGACCATGCTCATATAGAATGGAATATAGCATGAATATATACACATTTATCATTATTTCTCGCTCCATTCCTGTCACATCCGATGCGATTGATTTGTCAATCTTGCTTCGTTTCTCGATCCTCATCGTCCAATGCGAGTTGAGATGAGAAATTGTGCCTCAAAAATTGCTCAATTTATCCGACCAATATTCGGCTCATTCTTTGACAACAAAATCACACAACCATCACTGAGCAATGACATGATCCAGTTGTACATGATTCGCAGCTGAACGTGTGTACATTAGACCAGTTGATCCCCTTATACATTCTCACTTTTGACAGTGAGAACAAGTTGACCGTGCGACAAGTGGTATGCTTTGCTAAGCAAAAAGCAAGCAATCAAACATACCTGAATGGACCCGATCTGATCAGGTCTGATCACATCTGTTTGATTTTGTCTGATCTGATTTCGTATTGGGATGTGTGAGTGATCAAGTTGTTCCCGGACAATTGGTTAAATCGGACACATGAACGCACACGACTCCGATCGATTCAATACTCCTCTAGTTCACTCGTTCATGTGGTTAAATTGGTTGTCAAGTTTTCAATCAAATAGAACACACGATCTGATTGGACACGTTTGTCCAATTGAATACAATATTAGCCGACAAACTATCTCGAATTTTTCATTTGGTATATTTTATTAAGTATTATTTTCCTCTCCGGTTCGAATATTTTTTATTCATTCTATATTGTGTAATTCATCGACCCTCTCGGTTTTCACCTCATATGCTCCCTCCCGCGCGATCTCTTTTCTCATTTGTTTTCGCGCTGTCGATTTTTATGCGAGGGTGGCAAAAATGCGTGTGTTCAACCCCTCTTTCCCTTTTGAACGCATGGTGATTTCGAAAATTTTCCCGAATCTACGAAACATTTATTATTGTGCTTTATCATTATGCTTTTCCAGTTCTCAAAAATTCATCGATTCTCTTGTGTTTTTCTGTTCTATATCTCAAATTATGGTCTACGTTTTCTCCTGTTCTAGATACCTCGACCACTGGTGAGTTACCAAATACTTTCTATTTTTCTTCAATTATATTACTTCCTATACATTATTTGACATTTTCGGTTCAATATTTCTCCTTACATTTCTCGCGATTGTTCCTCTCGTTTTCAGATGGTTCAGCAAGGCCTCCAATGCAAACCTTTGGTTGGATTATACTGATCCTCACCAGAGCTATTTTATGTTGATTGATCTTACTTATAATTTTATCCGCGCATCATTTTATATATTGTACCACAAACTATTCACTCATTATTGATCACATTTAGATGGGGCCCATACACTTTCGGATGAGATCTGAGTGACATTCTTGAGGAACAAATTGATATTCTATCTGAATTATGAATTGGGTTTGATTTTGACAGGGTACAATCGGGTTTTTTTGACAGGCAATGCGTCCGCAAAATCAAGAATGTGAAAATCAGTGAAAACTTTCTAAGCAGTTCACATTGTATCATATCGCAAAACCAGGCCCATAAAATCCTTTAAAAAAGAATCGATCATTGCAACTAGAGTAATTGTGGTCAATTCCACGGTGCTCCTTGTTTCCTGGATTAGCTTGTACATCAGTTGATAATCTGAAAGTTGATGTTTCGGTCAGCAGATACTACCTTGTGGAATTTTAGGACTGTGAAATACTGAATCTCTCTCTGAAATTTCACAGCTTTTGCATTTAGAACTGAATCTGAAATACTACTTCTGGCAGCACCATAAGATATTCCTACCTGATAATTCAAATAAAAACATCGGTTGTTTTCACCATTGTATTAAAAAAACACAACTTGCTGGAAAGTTTATTCAACAAGTCACATGGGTTACTCTGCTTGAAGGTACTTTGAAACTTTGAAGTCCCAGTAGGCGGGATCTTATGTATCTTTATTGTTGACCTTTTTCATTGAATTCCACTGTAATTCTTAAGACAACCGCATTTCAGCCGATCCAGATTATTCATACTCAGTGTGGTTCATTTCAGCATTCGGCAACAGTTCACAAGACTCACATCAATAGAATTTTTGAGGCGAAACACTGTCCTACTATCAGTGTGAAGTTATTCACCAATAAATACATAAACATATACCATAAGTCACCAACCGAGCAAAATACAGCAATCCACAGTCAAATTTACTGGTAAATCAAGTGGCATCGTCGAACGCAGGTTTAGAAAAAAGCTGGTTATTGTGAATAATAGATGACAAAGTGAACACCTGCGAATAAAAGAAAATATGATGAAGTGAAATACAGTTGCCTAATGATAACTGATTGCTCTTAAGGACCAGTCCCAAAACAGTGCCGACTAAAGTACGGACCAGTCAATAAAATCCAGATCACACGTCACTAAGGGTTGTTAAGCACACGCAAGAAGGGTTGAAGGAAAAGACCTGCAATAAAGAATGGGGCGGGCAATTATATGAAATAAGTAGAGAAGGACGACCAGTCATGGTCGGTGGTCAAATGGGTGTTCAAAGTGGGTGGGGGTTAAGGCGAGTGATGATGGCACAGGTAAGTGAACAGCACAAAGGGTCAGATTAACAGACCTAGTGCCCGGATTTTATGAGCTATAGTTCGACCAAATTTGATTCTACGGAATCGGATAGATGTTGATTCGTACTTGCTGAGGTCCGAACTAATTTGGTCAGTAGTTACAGCCAAGTTAACATGTTCTAATGCCCGCTGACGAGGACAGCCTATTGGCTGTACTGTTCTGTGATGATTCTGTCCTGGGCACATGCTTTTCGAGAAAACCAATTTAGAGCAGTCAGTGTTTATACCTTCGATATGCACTCCAACCAGCATCCTAGCATTTCTGCACATAAACAAATGCACTATGCGCGTATGACTCATCTCAGTCCAACCATTTGTATTGATTATCGCAGTACGCGTATCTCGCGCACATGATCCACTTCCATATCAGGTGACAGAGCCTAAAAAATGTGTACCCACGAATCAGATCACTGATGGATCAGTACTTGTGTGTAAATGGGTTCCCTTTCTTATTTTATGCCTGATATAACTGCCGCATTTTAAATGCAAAATCGCAATGCGTTTCAGTTCCAGTTGGTGTGACTTCTAACTTCTCATTTCGAGTAACCCGGTTATTTCATGTTCGTTACATCCCCGGACTATTTTCCAGCTTCATCACCCAATCTGCTCCAATTTTACAGTAATTTTCATTTGTTGTTACACGAAAGTTGTTCCACTAAAGACCTGCTTATCATCGTATCATATCGGTGTGATTTCATCAGATCTCTGAAATATTCAAAATCTGTGCCGAAAAGTAGCTTTAAAAATCGGAAAAAAATAAAACGATAACTTTTGTATAGTTGAACGAGCGTCACCGTAAATATCGAGTTGGTCAGAGAGTTGGACTGCGGAAGCAAGCTTTGTTTGGCATGTGCCTCACAATCATCATGAACTCCAACTTTCGATCACTACGTGGAAAATTGACCGAAATGACTGATTTTGTACATCATCGCGTCGACGGCCCGGCACCTTACCGTTACCGTAGGACAGGTGTCATTACTTTTATGAATGAACGATGGCGCAATCGGATGAAAAGTATTTCTACGTATTCCATATCTCACTTCAGTGCTGCTATGCTAGAGTGCAAACCTATACATATAAGTCCTCAAACTTCTAGAATGTTTGTTAACATCTGCTTTTTCACACTGTCCTCTGGCTGATCTCGATGAATTTGCTGTTATAGTCTCTGAAAACCTGGATATGTTGACTCCTCCTTGTGTGTTGTCTGCTGCGACCTCACCAGTTTGAACGTGAGATTCCCTACTTCCATTTGCCTGACGAATACTGTTACCTTCCCCACCATACTTGAAGCCACGCATTAACTGTATCTTGGTAATATTGCCTGTCTTCCTCCACTTGGCTAATATGACGATGCGATTTTCAAGGGTCCCCCAATAATTCACTCTAAGGGTTGACATACCCGTTTTACTCAAAGCCTCTACCGGTGAATATACAATCGACCGTGTCACCCAGACAAACCTTGCGCGACAGAGATATATAAATGACAATTCTCACCTAAGCATATTTCCTCACTGCGAAATTTCGTTGTTTTGTGAACAATTCACAGTGGACCATAATTTCTGGTTCCGTATTTGCTGTCCCATAGAAACGTTGTATATCCGACTCGACCGTTACTCATCCCCACATCTGAAATGGCTGCGTCATATGAACAAGTGCATTTTTAAGGCCAGCGGCCCATGACCGATTCTGCCGAGGGATTGCGCAAGCACATTATCCCCCGTATCTTCGGGTCTATTTGACAGAAGTTCCAATTTTGATGGTACTCCCCATCTCTGGAAAGTGCCTTTTTTCACTTGAGTACGAAAAAAGGGTTGATCTAAACTGCGTCCAATAGCTTGCACATCGGTAGATTCTAAGGTGTTTGAAAAAATTATACTGAAGAGACGGTCTGCCTAGATCAATGTCACGATCTATCCCCGACGCCCTGGACTCTCCCGCCTACTCTGTTTTATTATCTGTTGGTCTCAAAAGACTAATAGTTAGGGTCCGTTTTTTGATCATAATGACGCATTTATATGCTCTGTTAAATTAGATTTACTCCGTGCTTTCGCCGACTCGAGTATTTGTACTTTCAGCATTATTCTCCTGCCCATGTACTTTTCCGATCGACAACAACAGACACGATATTACAGCCGAGCTTTTCCCATGCTTCGCTCTATACAGTGTTCTTTCATCTTTTTTGTTCCTACTTGTATATCATCTATGCCCGTTTATGACGATTGCTTCTTTAATAAATACGCCGATAGTCTAACAGCTTCTTAATTCCCCTCCTACGAAGCAGAGTAAATGAGGTTGTCAACAGGTCTTCTGACTGAAATCTGAGGATGGATCCAGCAGAGTGCTCCAATATTTTGTTCTGTTTCCATAAAACCTATCAACACTCCGACCTGATGGTATCCAACCCAGATGTAGCTGTCGACGGTAAATCAATACAGAGAGCATCGTCCATGAACTACCTCCGTGTGATCATCGGTCGTGACTTTACTTGGACCGATCACGTCGCGCCTGTCTCCCCAAAGTTTCAACGACTCACCTTTACTTGAACATTTTCCGCCCCGTTTCATTCAATAATACGATTTATATTTCCATGCATACTTTCAGACCGGCTACTTGTTTCCCCTGTCATGTTGCCCGGACTGCTTCCGAACGATTTTAGGATTCTCGTCGGAATCCTTGAACATTTGTGTCGACATAGTGGCATCACCTACAAAACGCTCATCCTCTTTGTCGTCGCCCAAAATCACAGGGGGTGCCCGATTTTCCCTCGTAAGATTTTAGATGACAGCACACACTCCCTCCGTCTCGATCTTAGCACTTGCTTACCTACCACTCAATCACAAGTTGGACATATGTTTGCTCGCACTACAGCATATAGGTTCTTTGTAGTTCCTTACCTAGCCCTTTCCCTCAGCAACTCAAATGCCACTAACACAGACCTCCTTAACTCGCTTCAAATACATATCTGTTTTTTTTCTATTGCTGAGATTTGCAGGGAAGCGGTTATGTATCTGCTGAATATTCATCCTCGGTGGCGTAAAGCATATACTTGACCTGACCTGGTGTATATCTTGCTTGTTGTTGTTGTGCTACGTCGCAGTAAACGAGTGAGCGATGCAACTCTGTTTAGAGAACTGTTGCATGGACTAGCAGAGTACACCAATGTATTAGATAAACCACCAGGAAGCGTAGACGAAGCGAAGAAGGATACGAGACAATACAAAGCCTCCAGTCATGTGAAAAGTGAGTGTTCATAACTTTTGTCGGATAAGCGAATCCTAGGATTTTCACTCAATTAGAAGAACTTCACGGCAATCACTATTTCAAACTCATTTCAGAAGCAGTTATCCATGAGTCTTTCCTTCTGAATCAATCCCTGGAAAGCCCAGTGCAAAACAAATGCTGAATGCTGAAACACATGACTCACTAATTAAGTAAGTCCCAGATAACTCGTACTCAGTGAACTGGGCGAAAATGATTTACAGTGATTTTACTGTGTTATGGTACGTAGAAAAAAGGTTTCGAAGAAAAAAATACCCAGTTTATCCGTAGTACTCCTTGCGAAACGTATAAATAATCCTATTACGCTCTTGAGTTACTTATCCATCTAACTGGTCCCTGAATGTGCTTCTATTGTACATCCTTCCTG